AGGCAAAACCACTTTTCTCTCCAGAGGGGGATGGAGGGGGAATTGCTTTGTCGGGGAAGGGGGAAAAGATATCCTCCGATGATTCACTCATTATCCTCAAAGGACTGTCACAGTTGGCAATAAAGAGCCATTTTTATATTCCTCAGGCCAGAAATGGTGCTTTGCTGTGTGTTAGATTGTTGGATACCAGATAATAATTTTAAGGATGTAGAATTTATTGATGAAATTAATTTCTCTTAAAAGATAGAAATATTGCGTGAATTCCTTAAAAGATTTTTTACTACAGTCAGGAAAAGTAGAGTACATTTGTGAACTAGTAAATAGTATCGCATTTGCTTATTTATGCAGTTAAAATACTTATTATTAAATCTATACAATAAAGGTTATCAATTTTCCAGGGAATGCCTTTCAATGGATTACAAGAAATAGCCATCAGTAGTTTCAAAAAGTTACAAACTTAAATGTAAGGAAAGTATGATTTCAGATTTATTTATTTAATTTTTTTTATGAAAAAGGAAACCCAATATCGCCAGAAGCAGTACCGCCGTATTTCGCGCTAACTCGGTGATGAGCAACGCCTTGATCAATGAAGACGTGTTCAGGGTAATATGAAAATGGTTATGATGCTATAGGAATGTATGTTAGAGGATCAGTGGGATGTGATACGTTTTTTGCGCTGCTAGTCTATTTCCGGAGGTGAGGAACGAATGCCATTGCTGCATCATACTGCGGTGTATGGCTGCTGTTTCGTACAGTCGGAATTTAGCTCCAAGTAACTTTCTCTTGTTTGGTCCTCTTAATTTTAGCTTTGACCTTTCTCGTACATTCACTTTAAATTTTCATTTGTTGGGGTAGGTACCAAGTATAGTCATATAGCTCTGTAATGTATCTTCCAATCTTTATTAATTGATGACAGAATCCCTGATCTTGCAAACCAGTAACTTGGACTGATTTTAAATCAATCAATTAATTTCACTATTTTAAAGTTGTTTTGCAGAATGCAAATAGAAACATAATTAAAAAATATATTGATTTATATTCGAAAATTTTACGATATCAGCAATCTCAGGTTGCTTCACGATGTACTAGTTGAGAAATGGAATTGTACTATATATATATAGACTGATCATGAAACCCACTTCAAACAGGATGTTCCTTTCTAGTCCCGTGTCGTACTTTCTTTTAAACAAAATCCTAGTTTTGTCCACTTTTTATGAGTACTTCAAATGCTTAAATGTTGATCAGTCATAACTGATCAGTACGTTTCTGTCGATGATACCTATCATGTTTGCGGAGACGCGCTGTTTGTCATCGACACGAAAGAAAGAAGTGTATTTATAATTAAAAAGCAGTGGGGAATTTTTATTTTTATTTATTTATTTATTTATTTATTTTAAATCCTGAAGAAGAAAGACTTGTGTTTGATCGCTTTTGAAACCGGGAAAGTTTTATTCAAAACCTTCGCCAAAATAAGGTTGATCGATCCTTTGTTTAATTTAAATTTCTGTATTTATGTGTTTTTCTTCCATTTGATAAAGCAACGTATGTTTGCAGCATTTGATATGTCCAAAAAGATGCTTCTTGCTGTGCGAATTTGCTGGTTACAGCATATCTACACCATTAACTTTTCGTTTTACGTTTTCCATCATTGTGTGAAATCAGTCAGTTAATAAACTTGGATATGTTATGAAGGTGAAAGCACACGTTCAGAAACGATGTTTGGAAAGAAATCTTCATTGAAGTGGTTAACTTGCATAACAATAAATTAAAAGTAATATGTTATAATCTTAATACTTTTTTGAAAATGTTCTTTTCCTCTTGTTATCCTTGTGTTAAGCGCGTGCGTTTGTGTTGCACAATTAATTAGACGATTGGCTGACAGATGTGTATCTAGAATAAGGAAAATCATTTTTGTGCTGCTGCCGCCACAAAAAACACCAAGAATTAACGTTCAGCTACTGAAAAATGCTACTGTGTTCAACACAATCAACACACTGTGTTGCAAACTTGTGACAAATATTACTGAGGGACACCTGTTACCCACGTGCTTAATCTACGATTATTTGTAGGCCATAAATGCAACTTGAGACGGAATAAATTTAATGGGAATATATCAGAAGATCAAAATTTGTCATCTAAAGTAAGTTGTTTGAAAAAATACTCATGATTTGGGCATGGTGATATGCAGTGTATTTCTACGTTCAGATAAGTGTTGTAGTTGCGGGTTTTCGGAAAATTTTTTCGAGTAAACCACTTTTGTAATAAAACAGTGTTGAATGAAATTGTGGCCAGTTTTTAATGAGAAGTATTTTCAGGTGCGTCATGAATTTGTTCACTTGCAGTAATTATAGGTAAAAACAAAAAGCCAAAATAATTTCAAGAACGTGGGTATTATATTTGTTTTCCATATTCAAATCCATATTTTCCTGTTTCGCAGCATTCTACTCCCTCCAGTTTGTATGTTTTGTGATACAAGGCGAAAAGAAAAATATTTGCGCTTAAAATGGGATTGTATGAAAAGGTACAAACGAAAGTTAATACAATAATTTGCTACACAAACAATTAATAATGTGGCAGAAATTGCAGAAGTTTTTAGCACGTTTTTATTTCATATATCTGAAGTTCTTCTATATATTTTGCTCTTTTTGTAAGATAGTCTCGTTAATGTATGACAGAGTAATAGGCTTTTGAATTCGGTCTTCGATTTTTTTTAGCTTCACTTTGCATTTCCAAGTTGCCGAAAAGAGTTTAAAGTTTTTTTTTTTTTTTTTTTTTTTACGTACATTTACAGTTTTATATATAAATCATCATCAAGTGTAGCCATACTTGCTACCGATTTATATGAGCTGTTTTCATTTATTATATAGCAACTGACTTATACTTTATTTATACTTGGTACTGATATTAGATGTGTATATTCTCAGGGGAAATTTAGTTACTTATAGATATCAGAATGTTAAAATTATGAAATATTTTGTGAAAGTTCGTCGAGTTATATGTTTCATCTTAGTTAGGAATTTCGAAATTTAGTTAATTAGTCACTTTTATTTGTTAGCAAACTAAAAAAGTAACTTACAGCAAAGTCACTATCTTCATGGCAGTTCTAGCGAAGACATTTCTGCATTCTTTCTATCGTTAGGAATTTTTTTAATTATTTTTTTGGAGATGCTGTTCAGGTATTCATTCTTGCTTGGTTTTCATTCCACTTGAAATGCTTGAAAAGGACCAAAATACTGGATTCACATTTTCTGGGCCGAGCTAAAATTTGCGGAATAGCTGTAAGTGACCGTTTATAATCTCCATTTTCTCAGTCTCAAACGAAGAATGGAGTGAAGGATCTGTCACGCAACACTCATGATACAATAGAGCTCATTAGAAGAGGAAGTGGGTGAAATAATTGCTGAATACAATTATGCCAAGTCTCTTTTTCAATTCCCTGATTAATGAATAGTGGGAACCTCCATTGATACTTGAAAAGTTACAAATCTGTAGTCTTCTAATACTTCCCGAAATAATCGAGATTTTGAAAAACAGAAATTTATACTTTTTGTTTCATATATTACTTTCAGACTTGTGCGAAAGCGCCTTGTTAAGTATTCTGAAATAAACAGTTTATTACATTAAAAAAAAATTATATTGAAGTTTAGATATTTTTTTCGGGTTTTTATAAAGTTAAAATTTTGGGAATTTGTCTCAGCTACGTGGTCAAGGGATTTCTCCTATTTTGAGAATGATTGTAGTGTTCATACAATCATTCTAGATCTAGATCTTGATTCTAGTTCTAGATCTTTTCTTATTAGCTCTCTTTATTGACAGAGGTGGACATTCCAAGACAGCACTGCAACTTACTGCTATTGTTTCGAAATAATATGCAGATGATTAAATTTTTTTCCTTTCGCGTGAAATATAGTTTTAAATTGTGAGGGTCTTATTAATTTTTCAAGGTACTAAAACGCTTTGGTCATTTGTTATTGATTAGTTGATAGTTGCTGCAAAGAAAGGTTATACTGTACAACTTTTTTGTAATGCACATTTTTCCTGGTTTGACTGAAATTAAAAATTGAATATTTGCTTTACGACTTTGTAAATGGCAGAGCATTTTAAAGTAGGTAAAAAATAACCTGGCATGATTCAACAACTTGTATCGTGCAAATTTTACTTTCTAGAGCACAAAATGTATGCGCTACGGAAGCATACTGTTGCGTTCCATGTGATTACTCACATTCTCAAATCTAATGAGTAAAAAAAATTCGTAGTGGGGAAATGAAGTCTTAAAATAATGCAAATAAATGACATTTGCCCATCAAACTGTGTGTTTCTAATTGCTGCATAGTTCAGCATTCTGTTTTATTGTTAATTGTAACAAAATGTGCAGGGCCGTTGCCAGAGCCGGTGCAAACCATGTAGTCGCACCGGGCGGCAGAATTTAGGGGTAGCAAAAAATTTACAGTTGAGGAAGAAACCAGGCGGCAGAATTTTAAACTTCGGGGCAGTTTGCACCGGGCGGCAAAAAGCCTAACGCCGGTCCTGGTGTTGTGTTATATCATCAGTTAATGTAAAGATGTGTAATGTTACATGGTTGATTAATTAATTACGCCAAAGCACGCGACTGCTATCTGCCTTAAGAAGAGTGCTTTTGATGATGACTTTCTAAGGGATAACTCTTCATGTTACACAGAGCAGGGGGGGGGGAAGCAGCCAGCCTGTTCGCCGGGAACCGAGCGCTGGGCGAATTACCATTATTAAGCAACCATAATGACTTGTTCATTGATGGGCTGTATAATGTTACATAATTTCTGTAACTTATAGTTTTTTTACTTTTAACTATCTTTGCTCAAAATTTGTATGAATATTCGGAAATAAGTTGCAGCTTCACGTTTTGCTTACTTTCAGGTACAACTTAAAGCGCAGATATGTTATAAGGATGTGATGATAGCTAATTTTTATTTGTACTGCTCTGTAATTCATAAACATGCAGTAACATATTATTTACTTTTCAGATTCAACTGACGTAAGTAATGGAAGGTACTAAGGATAAGAGCTCTAGATCAAGCTCGAAAATCAACTTGAATGAGTCTAGCGTCCCGTTACTGGAGGATGAGGTGACACTGAAAGAGGGCGAGAGCAAAGTGAACATAGAAATGGATACTCGCTCTTCCGAAAATGAAAAAGAAGATAGTGGAAAAGGGAAAGATGAAGAAGGCGATGGAAAAAATTCAGAGTCGAAAGAGGGTAAGGATGCCAAAAAGAAGGCTAAGAAAGAGAAAAAGAAGGAAAAGAAAGAAAAGCCTCACAAGCGGACATCTTCCTTGGCTGAAAAGTTAACAGCGGGTCTAAATTTGCTGGATAGGGATGACAAGAACGTGAATGATCATGTCAATGTAAGATTTTTATTTCATAACTATTCCTTCAGAAATCTGTTATGAACTCAAAAAAAGTGCAATTCGTTAGCTTGAAATCATGATACAGTCATTTCTGTAATGAGCTTAAGTCCAACTAAGAGCAAATTATAATACGTAACTTTTCTATAATTTTAAACGCGGTTATTCGTTTAAAATGAGTTATGAGTTAAAATGGTTATGAGTTTAAAGTATCAGTTAACATTACGGGACAAAAAACTTGGAATGAAGAAATAAGAAACAGTTAATAGTTCATTTGTTTCAACTTCAGAAATCATTATCAACTTAAAATATAACGATACAAAAAAGGGGGGAGGAAAGAAATGATTTGTTTTGGTAACATAAGCTAGTATCAGACTAAAACTTAAGAAGGTTAAAACAAACCTTTCTATTAAATCAGGAATTGAACATAAATGCACGACTCGTGCTTACTATCTCCACCAGCCACTTGTGGTGGGATAACCTAAAGAAATACTAAATTTAAATTAAGTAAGCTAGTAGTCTAAGCCTACACAATTCAAATTAACGTGAAGTTGGCTCAAAACTTCTTACCGGCGTAACAATTAAAATACCGGCAGCTATAGTGTAAAGCCGAATAATACAATCTTATCTGAACTAACTATCCTAGTGACGTGGCCTACAGCAGCAGAACACGCTGTGTCTTAAACTTCCGCAACCTTACTTTAAACACTGTCTTAATCTACCTCATTTACATTGTGGTAGGGAAATGAAAGCGAGAAGTGACAGTAAAGATCCAAAACATAAAATAACTGTTTAGTGAAAATAACAGCAATAACCTACACGCTTTTAAAAATTTTAAGAAAGATACAAGATGTTTACCATCCTACTCATTCTCTTTCTCCAACATGTAGTGCTTTCTACTGATTACTAGTGCCAGCATTAAGGTTCGACACCTCATTCAGTTTATGAAATAAAAAGCTATTTCCAGATTTTTTGCTCAACAAGATCATTAACTGATCGAAACCGAATGAACTACTTCATAATGTTGTTTACAAACCTAAACAAATCTCAAAGATGGACTGGCCGATAACTATATATTTAGCTGCCTTGAATTTAGAGTTCTGTTTATTCCCACTAATAAGAACTTCACATTTATGAGTTTACATTAAACCTTAGAATTTGGGCATGTTTTTAGCACAGCACTGATGAGAATTTTATAATTTTTTTTATATATATTTTAAACTTCATTAATTAATTTTTACCAGACTAAAGGAGGAATGCGTAAGGCTATCTCTTAAAATATTACCAAAAAAATTACAACTTAAACTATGTAATGGTTATGATAAAACTTTCATTTAAAATCGACAGACCAGTCTGTAATCAGCAGGACAAGTCTGTAACTAATATTAATTTCTATGCAGTATATGGAAATCAATATTTTTTATTGCTGTTATCAATGCTTATTCAAAAGAAATTATGTTTTTTTAATCCTCTCATCACTGCAAAAAGAAAGAGGGCTATAAAATGAATTTTGTTGAAATAATAAATATTTAACTTGAAAGGCATTTAAAATTTTTTTCGTGTTTGCCATCGAGACATTTTAATCTTTATTGCTGTAATAAATAGCATAAACTAGTATAAAGAAAAACAGGAGTTACGGAGTGGGTGGGGAAAAAAGGAACATTTGGAGAACTTACTAAACTAGTAAAGGTGTGGGATTATTTTAAGAACAGAGTTTTTAAGACGCGTTTCCTTTTACCAAAAAAAGTCCCATTAATCATTTTAATCTATTTCTCTAAATAAATATGACATGCAAAATAATAATAATAAAATTAAATAAACAGCATTGGAAAATATATTAAAGAAAAGACAGTGTTATAAAGAATTTTCATCATTTGTACAGCTGTTTGTAATAGAACGATTGTCATTACTAGTGAGCATTATAACAATCGTCAATGTAAATACAAAATTAATTGCAGAAATGGAGATTAGTAATGTCAGTTTCTTTGTAACATTCCAAGGATGGCATTAAGAAGTGGTTTTAAATGATGGCTTATTTAATATTATCATATAAAATATGAAGTGTAGCACATATACATAAAATTCCTTTTAACTTCTGTAGCGTATGCCACAGTGAATTTCGTTTAGTACATCAGGTAAAATAGCAGAAGACGAAAAAAAACGATTTCTGGTCTGAAGAGTGTACCATTTTGAAAAATGATTTTCGTGCATTAACTGTGCTCTTGTTACCCTAATGCCTGTAGTTTTTTTTTTTTTTTTTTTAGTAGGGGATATGAAAAATGTTCAGTACCCTCGTTGGAACTCGAAACTTGGACCTGTCGAGTATGCTTCCAATTACACCACGAAGGCATGAGGAAAAAAGGAAGAAAATACCTTACATACACCCCCTTTTAAACGGCGACTGGAGACTATGGGATTCAATCGCTAAATCCTGGTTGTGACGAATTATTGTCTACAACTTTTAGTTAGTTATAACATTATTATTATTATTTTTGAGACAGGCTACATGTGCAGTGCTCTCGCCGGGACTCGTACCCTAGACTACTCGAATGCGCGTCGAGCATGCTTCCCATTACACCACGGCGGCATGCGGAAAAGAGGGAGAAAATAACTTATAAGCCTTTCGAAAAATGAGAACGGAAGATGCAAAATCGTTCGTTTGGTAGATTGATAATTACTTGCCCTGCTGGTTAACTTCTGTCTTTTAACGAAAGGATGGGAAATTTCGAGTTTATAGGTCACTCTCGTACATTTCTAGACGTAATAAGACTTCACTAATTTGAGAAAATGCAGACAGTGCAGACAGCTTTCTCATTTTTTTTTTTTTTTTTAAAGAGAAGTTTAAACTCTTGTAAATTGGAAGTTATAGGAAAAATAATTCTATTTAAGGCTTGTTCGTTTTTTAGTTTAGCATAGCAGAATGAGCTCCTTATTTCCTAGTTTCGAAATATCTAGTATAATTTTATTACTAGATATAAATATCCAGTATAATTTTATTACTAGATATTTCGTTTTATAAGACAACAGTCCTAAAATAATATAACTTTTAATTGTTAATAGGGATGTATCAATAAAGAGAAAATTCTCCATATATCGAAGTCAGTCAGATCAATGTTCTAAATAGCCTAGGTTTTGTTTCTGTGAATAACTCAACTATCTACAAAAACAGAAAAAATTCACTTTCCTTTCGAAGTTTTAAAGAACAATTTCTTTAAAATTACTACTTGAAGATCTGTATTATACAGAGTGCCTTTTAGTAATAATGCTATTAAAAATGTAAATGAATTTACATAAAAATATGATATTCAGCAGAACAGCACGAACTGCATGGTTGATTTCTTTTCTCTCGTGAAACGAACTGTATGGGAAACTATTTCCTTCCTCTTAGTCATTACAGATCTTTTGATGCATCAGGTGAAAGTTTTAAAAAGTTGGAACTAACTTCATAATCACAAATTATTGCTTCAATGAAGTGACAGATTCAATCAATGAATGAGAAGTATGTCTTAAAGATAAAAGAAATGGAATGCAATTATTTTTAAAGCATGCATTATAGCAATTTTATTTTAGCGTAAATCAGATCTGAGAACACTAGTTAAAAAATTCGATGCTGATAAATTCTGAAGAATTCAACATCTGCTGTGGTTTTAAGAAAGAATTTCTTGGCTACATCGCTTCCAAGGAATCTTCAGTGACTTGCGACATTTCTGTTTAGGATTCAATGGACTGGTTTATTTGGATTTATCTGCCTAAGGGAAAGAAAGGGATGCCTTCGTGGGAGACATTTTAAGGGGACTGCATAATATCCATATTACGCATGGGAGAAACTACGAAAACTTCCAATTCAGTCCGTTAGCCGGGACGTGAACCACGGTAAAACTATCAATATTAAGCGAGTTTACCAGGCCACAGGCTTCAGTAATGGAATACTCGAATTTGCGTCCTGATATGTAGGTAGAGAAGCAATAGAAACAATCCAGCCCCACATACTGTAGGAAACCGTATTATAACCCTCCCTTGGAAGCTATTAAACGTGAAAATCGATAACTTTCAGCTATTACCTCTGGCAGTTTGAGTGAGGAAATTGTAAGTTCAAATTCTTTTACTATACTTGTTGGTACTTTGCTTAAAGACACTGCAAAATCCCATTCCTTTAGCATAATAATAAACGGCAGTATACCGCTTGTTGCTTCTTATCATATTTCAGTCAAGCTGTCTTTTTCTACCCAGTTAGCTCACCAAATCTATAGCCAGTCAAACAAATATGGAATACCATCGGCGTTATTTTACGTTTTCTCGTATTAATGTGTGGGATTATCACTGTGTATTTCTCAGTCGCGCATAATGTTAAGCGAATAATCGCTTGAGTTCGTGTAGATGAAACAACAAGCACAAAGGGTAAAATAACCCTTTATTATTCAGATAAAAGTTAACAGAACTCCGACTTGGAGTTTTACAATAAAGCCGAACACTCGGGCTTTGAACTTACGATATGAAGAACTAACTAATTAACGAAAGAGATACAGCCGAAGCTATCGAGATTCTAACCGAGTTGGCTCCTTAACTCTATTTGACTACGAAGCTATCAAGGGCCTGAGTACGACCGAGCATAATAACAGCTTTGCGGGAGAGTAGCCAAAAGGCAGACGCGCGCAAATCAGAAACTCTGATTCTCTCTAACTCAGCAAGTAGAACTTCGCGGTTAAATATCGCTATTCCTCATTATGTATTCAGAATGATTCTAAAACTACGTTCTGACCGGGAGTAGTAAGTTGAAGTGGAGAATTTGACAGGAAAGGAACTTTAACTTAAAATTTAACTGTTAATAAAATTAACATAATCCTTACAAATGTCTTACGTTTTTTTATACTATATTAATATCTTATGTTTTTCTCATATTAGTATCATCTGTTTTCTAGTATTAACATTTTACGCTTTCTGAAGATCCAGCAGCAAGAACTGGTGAGCAAAATAGCAGAAATGTAATAATGCACATTTAT